TATTTATTTATTTGTGCATGTAAGAAGGGATTGGGTGATAAAAAAATCTCCTACTCGTCTTTTTTGATAACATTTCATAACATCCAATAACGGATTTCGTTCCGAATGCTCTTTTAAACTTTGGTTGGACCATCTCATCCATAGTCATGTGTAAACAGATGGGCTTTCAATCTGGTTTTGAAAATACAATATATACGTAGATTCCTTTATGTGAAGGGGTACAGAGTTCCATAGATTATGAGCCGAAGAATACTTGACGGAGCGCTTTGTTAGGTCTAAGCTAATCGGTAGTACTATTAAGAGTTGTTATATGGGTCAAATATGCAAAATGAAATGGGGTTTAACGTCCTACTGTTCTGCTCCTAACCTGGGCTAATGAAGACGGACATACGCCATACAGTATGCTATGAGGGAAATTTTGCCCGGGCAGCGGCACTATCGCCTACTCTTATATCGAATTCCAACTGCCAAGGGATCTTTTACGTGCACGCCAATGTATACACGGGACCTCGGTTTTTCGTCCCATCCGAAAGACTAGACAGCTGTCCTTGTCAGGCCCTCTTAATCTTGTTTACAGCAACAATAAAACGTTGGAAAGGACATTATACCGTAAACATAAAATGTATTATAGAATTTGAAACGGATGCGAACCATCCAAATATATGACCTGTGACAAATGTACAACAAAAATAAACGTTCATATAAATCAATCATTTACATATATATGTTAGATATATTTAGAGTAAAAAGAAAATATAAACACAGCTGTTTTTAATTTTGACAAAGGTTTCATATTAAAATAACTAAACTCTAAACCTCAACCTCTGTACTATCCATAATGTTAATATTCAAAATTAAAAACACGAATTTAAATTTAATATTGTTCCATTTAAACCAATAGCTTACCGTTAAAAAAACAGGAGCCTAATATCCAATATTTAAGCTTTAATGAACAAATCAAAACATGTCGTCAGGAGATAATAGTTTTGGGGACATTTGTAACGAACAAAGAAAACTTACCCCATAAGACAATTGCACGAGAGTATTCATCCGGCGGCTGCCAGGCAAGATATGCCTACATATTGCAAGCGATGGATAGAGAACAGCTTAACGCAGCTTAAGTATACTTAAATATTTATTCTGCTTCCATTAATAAAATTGAAAAAGTTTATTTGGTCTTTGTACATGACGGATATGAAAGCGAGTAGAACCGCTATACAAACAGTATACCATTTTTTATACGCCCACATTTTCATGTGGACGTATTATGCTATCGCCCCTGTCCGTCCGTCACAGTTTTTATCCTATTTTGATGAAACTTGAAATATAGCTTTATCATTTAAAGATATCGGATCCTTTCGATAATGGCATGTATCGGACCATAACTTCATGAATTATGGTCCCTGATTGTACGAAAAATCATGTTTTATGTGGACACTGTAAAGGTTACAATTTCCACCTGATTTTGATGAAACTTAAAATGCATGTTTTTGACCCAACGATCTTGGCCCCTTTCGATATTCGCGCATATCGGATCTTAACTTCCTGAATTATGGCTCCTGATTGTTTTTAGCTTGTGGTTCCTCTAGAGTCACAATTATTATCCGATTTAAAAGACCGTTCGAATATATCACCGCTTCACCGTAATATTGGTTGAGTTGAAAGTTCGTAAAAATCGGACCAAACCTGTCGGACAAAATGGTATATCAAGGTTGAAACTTGAAATACATGTTTATAACCCAAAGATCTTGGTTGCTGTCGATATTAATTTCCTGAATTATGGCCCTTGGTTGAATGAAAAATCGCGTTTTTAGCTTGTGGCCCCTTCTAGAAGTCAAAATTTTTATCAGATTAAAAAACAAATATTTGAGTGTATCGCCGTTACACCCTAATGATGGCGGAGTTCGAATTTCGTGAAAATCGTTAGACAAAATGGCCACCCCTCGTACGCAAATAGTGCAAATATATGGTATATCAAGGTTGTGGGTCCTCTTGAGGTCACAATTTTGATAAAACTTTACATTTATGTTTATATCACAACAAGCTTGGTTCCTTTCGATAATCGCGCATATCAGAACGCCACTTCCTGGATTATGGCCCCTAATTGATCGAAAAATCGCATTTTAGATTGTGGACCCGCTAGAAGTTACTACTTGACATCAATGAAGGCTGAATTCGAAACTGTCTGACAAAATGGCCGGTTCTTGTACGCAAATAGCATAAAAGTATGTAATACCAAGGTCGTGAACACTCTAGAGGACATTTTTTTTCTGATTTCGAAGACACTTGAAATGTATGTTTATAATCGTAAGATCTTGGCTCTTTTCGATATTTTCGCATATCGGACTCAGTAACTTGGTGGATTAGGGCCCATGATCCGATTTTGACGAAATTTGAAATATAGGTCTCACAAAGATCTCAGTTTCCTTCGATATTGGCATGTATCGGACCATAGCTGCATGGATTAAGGCCCCTGGTTGTTCGAAAAATTACGTTTTTAGCTTGTGGATTCTCCAGAGGTTACAATTTTTTATCCGATTTTAAAAACCCCCAAGAGGCCACAATTTTTATCTGATTTTGATGACATTTAAAATATGTTTATATCCCGAAGACTAGGTTCTTGAAGATATTCACGCATATCGGACTGTAACTGCCTGGATTATGGCCTGTCATTGTACTAAAAATCGCTTCTTTTTTTTTAGCTTGTTATCTGTCCATCTCTTGCAAATTGCAAAATGTGGGCGTATCTTGTATGGTAACCGAGGGTGGTGGGGGAGGGCTGAATGGTAAGCACGAGCACGCTATCATAAAGTCTGTCTTTGAGTCAACTTGCGTGGTTTCGAGTCCCCGGTTGTACGTGACAAGGAGTAGGGTCACCTGTCCAACCTCGTGGGTTTTCTCCGGGCCCTTAGGTTTCCTCCCACTGCTAAAGACCCCTACGCGCAAGCGAATTATGGAAATAAAATTGAACCATATGTTAGTCCCGAAATGAGCTAGTTTGTGTCGAGTGGACGTCAAACCCCATCTCTCACTCTCTCCCTCTCTCTCTGTACGGCAACCGCTTGTTGGATATGGCGGTCATTTAGGACAGAGATCTATTCTCTAAGTATGAAGTAGATTCACCTTTTTGTGCAGAATGGTGTGACAGAAATTGACCCAAAACGCTCATAATTACATTTCATGTGGGCGTATATTGTCGTCGCCCATGTCCGCCCGGACGTCCACAATTGTTTGTGAACAGTCTACAGGTCACAATTTTTAACCGATTTCAATGAAACTTGAAATATAGGTTTATGACCCTCTCGGTTCCTTTCGATATTGGCATGTATCAGACTGTAACTTCATGGATTATGGCCCCTGAAAATCGGCCCAAAACTGACAGACAAAATGGCCGCTGTTCGTCCTCAAATAGCGTAAAAATATGGTATATCAAGGTTGTGGACCCTAATTTTTATCCGATTTTGTTGACACTTGAAATGTATACGAAAAGTCGCTATTTTAGTATGTGGGCCCTATAGAGGTCATAATTTTTATCCGATTTAAAAAAAACAACGTATTATTATATCACCGCCACACCCTAAGGACGGCTGAGTTCGAATTTCTTGAAAATCAGCCCAAAACTGACAGACAAAATGGCCGCCCCTCGTTCACAAATAGCGTTAAAAAAATATGGTATATCAAGGTTGTGGACCCTATAGAGGTCACAATTTTATCCAATTTTGTTGAAACGTGAAATGTAAGTTTATAACCCAAAGATCTCGGTTCTTTTCGATATTTGCGCATATCGAATTGTAATTTTCTGAATTATGGCACTTGATTATAGGAAAAATCACTTTCTTTTTAGCTTGTTCTCTATCCATCTCTCGAAAATGTGGGCGTATCCTGCCTAGCAGCCGCTGGTTTAAAAAAACTTTTATCGAAATCTCCAATCAGTTTTATTTTGTACTTCAATGTGCAGGCTGAAAAGTTCTTAGCCTGAAAAGGATAGACCTTTTGGGTAGAAACGAACTTTTGCCACTAACAAGTAGAATCATGGAATGAATCATAGACATATGAATTGCCACTGTAGTATTACTATTGCCTTGTGAACCTACCCATTGAAACCAAAAATGAAGAAAACTGGCAATAGGACAGTCATATATACCTGCAACTGAAATGACTAACCCCAACACAATTACATGCCGGCATAGTCTCCACTCACAGGCACTTGAAGGGATTAAAATAAAACTTCTTACTACTGCTTGACTATATATTATAGTATATAAAAGGTAATTCAGCCGCCATCTTTGTTTTCACGTCTTCAAGGCATTACGTCTGATAACATCTCACAATACTCACTAGTTCTAACACTACCCGTCGTTTTTATTGCCAACGAGACCTTATTTGATCATTATTCAGCTTCCGATGTAATTAAATTGGCCATTTAACAGCGTTATTAGTTACAAATCAAACGTGAAGCGCTGTCACTTGCCGAAATTCATGTTCAACGGCCCGGAAGTAAGTTGTGTTTGTAGCAGTCTGTATCACCCAGTCTCTCATAAACCTATCCGTTACTCGATTATTTTCCTAGGAACTGGGTGATCCAGACTGCAACTGCGGCCTCGCTTCGTAGGCTCGATCATTTACCGACCAAATTTCCAGTAACGGCAAGTGACAGCGCTTCACGTTTGATTTGTAAATGGCCGTAAATGGCCACTCCTTTTTTTTGATTTTGGTGAAACTTAAAATAGGATTCTGTAGATATTCACGCATATTGGACCGTAACTTCCTGGATTATTGTCTCTGTACGAAATATCGCTTCTTTTTTGTTATTAACTTGTTCTCTGTCCATCTCTTGCAAAATGTGGGCGCATCTTACATGGCAATCGCTTGTTTTCCTTTGAAATATATGTGACCAAACTGGTTTATTCTGCGTTTAAGTTTAAACTACTTTCGATTTGTGAAGAATATGAAACTAGGCGTATACAAGGTCAGATTTATTCTGCGTTTAAGTTTAAACTACTTTCGATTTGTGAAGAATATGAAACTAGGCGTATTTACCGGGAAGTTATTTGAATACACCCCTAGTGATAAACGGTAGATGAACAAGGTAGGTAACATTATGATCCGTTGTTTTTTTATTGTATTACTTCTAAAACATGAAGCTGAAGCAAAAATCAAGGGTACATCACGGAACATGACAAGACGAAAAAGGTCTGGTCCTATAGGTTAATATTACGAAGCTTACCCTCAATGTACTGTACACACTATACTAAGCAAGGAAGTATTTGCGAGTCTTACCATAAATGTATTCCAAGTATTGCACTATAATATGTGTTGGCTGTTATTGTGGTTTAAGGTTACTAAATATAATCATTTATATTGTAAATTGACATTTTCATGGTAAACATCATTAAATTACTGTAAGTCCAATATGTTTTATTACAAAAATAAAAATCTTTTACTATATCTATTATGACTATAAAGGCTTGAAGTTAACGGATCCTTCTCATTCCAATTCTCCCCAATATGTGCATGGTTTAAAAGTATCTGCTCTTCAGGTGTGTGTCCTATCAGTTTCGAGATTAATGTTTCCTGAGATTAATGTTTCCTAAGACAAGATGAAGGAGTAAGGCGTCTCAACCTGTATTGAAGGCCCCGCCATTTGTAGTCTATTCCTGTACTCTCTTATGTATATATATTTACGTCACTAAAAACACAGGATAAACAATCTATATTTAGGTTTGGGGAAGGCCCAGTACGTATCTAACATACGCTAATAGTATGCATAATAGAACAGCTATTACTAACAACTCTTGCAATCCTTACACTATAAAGTTTTGTCTATTTTAACACTTCTTAACAAATATACAAATAACAATTCAATCGTATAAGGTTGGATAATCGTGTTAAATGTTTATTATGTCTCACTACGGGTAACATAATTGTACGTAACATTTAGGGGGTGGATTGCCCATAATGTCTTCCATTGAGTCAAGTGGCGTGGTTGGAATTCCCTTTTTATACGCCCACATTTTCATGTGGACGTATTATGCCGTCGCCCCTGTCCGTCCGGACGTCTGTCTGTCTGTCCGTCCACAATTGTTTGTGGACTCTCTACAGGTCACAATTATTATCCGATTTTGACGAAACTTGAAATATAGGTTTATCCCCAAAAGATCTTGGCTGCTTTCGATATTGGCATGTATCGGGTCGAACATTCATGGATTATGGCCCCTGATTGGACGAAAAATCACGTTTTTAGCTTGTGGACCTACAGAGGTCACAATTTTTATCCGATCTTGTTGAAACTTTAAATGTAAGTTTATAACCCAAAGATCTCGGTTCCTTTCGATATTCGTGCATATCGGCCAGTAAGTTCCTCAATTATGGCCCCTGATTGTACGAAAAATCGCGTTTTTAGCTTGTTAATCCTATAGAAGTCATATTGTTTATCCGATTTAAAAAAAACCGTATTATTATATCACCGTTACACCCTAAGGACGGCTGAGTTCGAATTTCGTGAAAATCGGCCCAAAGCTGACGGACAAAATGGCCGCCCTTCGTTCTCATCTAGCGTAAAAATATGGTATATCAAGGTTGTGGACCCTATAGAGGTCACAATTTTTATCCGATTTTGTTGAAACATGAAATGTAAGTTTATAACCCAAAGATCTCGGTTCCTTTTGATATTCGCGCATATTGTACCGTAACTTCCTGAATTATGGCCCCCTAATTGTACGAAAAATCGCGTTTTTAGCTTGTGGACCCAGCAGATTAACCCTACTAATTAAGCGGATTAGGGGTTAGTTACAGATTAGTAAGTTATACTCTGTTTTAATTATTTCATGATCAGTTAAATTTAACCTATGACATGTATAAACTATAAATCACAATATGGAAATGGAGGCGTTTCACGTCCAAAGAAAATACATGTACATAGAATTAAACAGAAGAATACATGATGAAAAACAAAGATTATTAACTGGTTTGACGACTTTATATAAATACGGAAATTCGATATCACATTTAGTCGGATTTTAAATATACATGTACAATACTAAATTTGTTAATAAAATAACTTGTATGTAAAGTAGTTAATATTGATATGAAAAATATATATGTACATGCTAAATTTGTTAATAAAATAACTTTTATGTAAAGTGGTTAATATTGATATGAAAAAGACTATAGTTTTAACACCATTGTTACCCTAATTAGTACTGGTCCGATGATTCTACGTGGAAAACAATAGCTGCTGGGAAAGTGAGAACACCCCGAGGTTCATCACAAACTCCACCAGATAACTGGACATTGTTATGTTTGACATAAATCATCTTGGTTGTAATCACCGCTAGTTTCCTGTGACTAAACTGTAGTAATATTTAATGTTCTTTAATATTACTAGACTGATGCCGTGATACCATAGTAATATGATCTCCGCGACCATATTATATCTTTTAACTGATTATTGGTTCCACATATCTCACACACTCAAATTGAATAAGTGATGGGTTTATATATAAAAAACAGTGATGATTTGGTAAACATTTAATTCTGGGTTAATAACAAAATAACACGCCTGGCACTCTCGGTGGAAAGTTTTCACTGTCCATATAAGGGTGTTTCTCGATGTCATTAGGCTTAGTAACCTATCATCATAATTAATTACATAATTGCCGGAGCTGTCTCAGGGTCACTGTAAATGATTAAAACACTGATTTAGATCCTATATAGAGACACGCATTGAGAGAGATACCATGTAGATCGGTTGGCAGATACTGTTGGGTTGAAGAGACACCACATGGATTCAGATTGCCTCGTTAGGTCGTAGGAGAGCCATTATATGATGTAGGGTTTCCGTCAGTAAACTCGTTCTGCCAAATGGTGGGTTTGAGAGAGTAGAGAATGACGTTATTGTAATCTATGTTTGTAACCGATGTATCAAGTGCTTGATATAAAATGTTAAAAAGAACTGCTGCAGTGTTGTTCCTGGTGGCTGGTAGACAAACCTCTTAGTCCTGCGTTAAAAATAAATCCAGAACATGAAAAGGAGTCATAAGTAAAGTATTACAAATATAATAAGAGACAATACTTGGAGTTGTGCTTTCCACATCTGACCAGCGACGCATATTACTACATTACTACCCAATTCGTGTTCTTGGAGGCTACTAGACTTACCAGGCATTTACTTACTATCTACCCAATTATGTTCTTTAAGATTACTAGACTGGTGACGTGTATGGTGTTCCCTAGTTAATATCTACCATATTGATTTTATCCAAGATTACTGGGCTGATGGCGTCCGTGAGATACTATTATCTATCAAATTCATTTTCGTTAAGATTAATGAATGTGTCGGATGTTCATTTGACTCCGTGTTTGTATTTATTCAAACCATATTCTTTTAGATTACTTGACTGAATACGTCCCGGCAGATACTGAGTTACTGTTTACCCAATTCACGCTCTTTAATGTGACTGGGCTGATGGTGTGCAGGGTGTTCACTTGGCCCTGAGTTACTGTTTACCCAATGCGTATTCTTTAAGAACACTACCCAATCAATGTACTAGGGCAGAACTAGTTATGCATTTAAGCTAAGATTTAAATTTTTTACAGAATGGGATTCAGTCTGTTATACCTAACTGTGTTGGTGTGGAGCCCCCTGGTGACAGGTACGTATTATCACAAAACTAGAAAGTGCTTTACATATCAAGGCAGTGGGACTGATTAACCATGAGCATATTTATCAAAGGCAACTTGAAGATTTATAAATAACCTAAATTTTAAGTTAATATCTAATCTGATCAAAAGGACGCCAACTTGTGATTTAAATAACTACACATGAGTCGTTAGAATTCATTGTAACCTGACCTCGTTACCTTCGTGCCCCAGTTTACCACACAGAATGTCTTCATTACCCTGAAGATATATTAATACATAGTTCTAGAGATAAAAGACATTTCACGCATAATACTTTTCGAAATTACAAAGGACAATTGATCTCTTTGGACTAGCAAGTGAAACTTTATAAGGGCCTATAAAATACGTTCGTAGAGCGCAGGATATATATTTAATATAGTCTGTGGTTTTCGTATAATTTAGAAACAGCGTTTACCTGGAAAGAAACAGAGAATCCGGTTAGAAGAACAGTACGCCAAAGAGTTGAATTGGTGTGGAAATATGAAACTTACCAATCTGTCAACAGCATGATTTTTATTCGCGCTCGCTCTGAGAATATGTCTGATGATAAGGTAATTAGAGAGACAGGTGTAACCTACGAGGTTGGGCAGGTAACCCTACTCCGTCGGAATCGAAACCACGTCACTTGACTCCGTGGCAAACCTTATGTTCCAAAGTACATGCATGCCATCGCAACCAACGCATTACATCAATTATTTATTAACTAAGCCCAAAGTATGCCACACTTGCTTCTAAGAAATTGTGATAACATAACTAATCCCAGTGTTAGGGTGACCCACCATAAATAAATATCTCCAAATATCTCGACAATTACGCCACAATATTTATATATATGCCAAGCCTCAAATCAGTTTCACACAATTATAGTCACTAAATAAACGATCATGTTGTACTTAATAAGCTATGACCATTAATCATCTATAAATAATAGACTGAAAACTGGTTCCAAGTTGCGTCCATAACATCCAGACACTTTTGAGTAAAAGATAGGTTATGTGCCCTTGTTTTGAAATTAATCTCGCTTAACCAGTCTATCGACCATTCTACGTCTGATTGACAGGTCGGGATAATCAAGACTACTTTTTTACGAAACATAACAGAAAGCTAGAACAAGAAATTGAATTTAAAAATAAGCACTTTAGACAACTCAACAATTGTTTTAAGAAACTTGTAAAAGTAAAATGAAACTACTGCTAGTATCATGTTCCTGCTAAAGAAAGTGATTCAGAGATAGTATTTGTACTAAACCAAAAGATGCCGCTCTTAACGGTACAGTTAATGATAAAGCAATTTAAAAAATAAAACAAACGTAATTACTAAAGCTGCTGTAATAACCAAGAAGCTAAATTTTACTGCTATTCAAAATCGTCAACAATAGATTTTTTACGGCTGTAATAGTTGATATATTTGTAGAGAATTGCACGTGCCATGGCTATTTATCGACTCAAAGCGAGTGCGGGGTAGTCAGAAATCAGTTCGAGACACGCAACTGAAGCGTGCACATTTAGCCGTGTCGAGACCAACTTTCTGTAAAGTGCACGGGTCATCCTACCAGTGTATGCCACAATTGTTTCTAGGAAATGATGATAACATCAATTATTTGTTAACCTCTCCCAGAGTATGCCATACTTGTTTCTAAGAAATGGTGATAACATCCATTATTTATTAACTAATCCCAGAGTATGCCACACTTTTTTCTAAGAAATGGTGATAACATCAATTATTTATTATCTAGTCCCAGAGTATGCCACACCTGTTTCTAAGAAATGGTGATACCATCAATTATTTATCAACTAATCATCAATTATTTTATTTAACTTCATGATTGTCTTCCCAACGTTTCATTCGTCCACAAATAGTTTTGCTTCCATTTGAATGGGGTCGGTCCGGTCCTTCAATGACTTAAATCCAAGGACTTTTATTTTATTGTAGGTATTTGAATGGAAAGAGAAGTCTGGTCCATTAATATGAACATTTGATGTTTTTGAAAAAGAAAATAGATGCAGATAAAGTTGCTAAAAAGTTACTATAGGACTTGTCATTCTCGATATCCTCAGTTGTAGTACTACTGGCTTTTTCTTGAACTTTTTTTTCTTTCCATGATCAAAAATACAGCATACAGTTCAATTTTTTTCTAAGTTTTATTCTTCAAACAATCTGGGGCAGTTGGTAAATAAAAACAACCATCTGGCTTGTTATGTCTGCTATAATGATCTGCGTGAGTTCTCCCGAAGTCAACACCGCTCTCTCATTTATAGGTACCTACCCCTAATTGATTTACGTAATAGACTGACAATAGCCAAATTCCATATATGGAATGGACATGCACTATACCCTGGATATCGACAGGAATTGTTATCTCATTTGGTCAAAACATATGACATATGTTTTATAACAAAGGAACATGTAAATGGCCAACGTGTTCATTAATCTATAGTTCCGTTGACGTATCAAAACAACCAGCATGGTTTGTTATAATATCTTGAATATCAATTTTAGGTACAATAATTGGTTAAATATCATAATATGATTATTGTTCCCGCCATTATATTGTTAGACGTTATATTCCACTAACATCTTGGTCCATCAATGGGTTTTTCTCAAATAATATGATTATTGTTACTGCCATTATATTGTTAGACATTATATTCCACTAACATCTGGGTTTTTCTCAAATTGTCTGCTCATGATCGTAGCTTGATTCTACGAACCAATCATAAAACAGTTTACATACCAGTCTTGGCGTCATTGTTCACGTTCACCACAGTAATCTTAGTTGCAATAAAATGCGAGTTACTTTCCTTCGCCCACTCGATTGATCGATAAAAATAGTAGAAGTATCAAGGGTGGATAATTTGACTATGTCTCCCGCATGAATTGACACAGGGGTTAGTGCAGAAGAACGGAACGATACCACTGGGGATACCGAGAATGTGTGTTGAAGTACGATGCATAAATGATTTCAGGTTCCTGTGGGAAAATGGACGCAGGAAGAGGGATTCAAGCCCGATCCATTCATATCAACAATGCTGGAACACGTTATTGAGAACATAGAAGGGACGAATAAGAAGAAAGTATCTTTGATACTTAAAGATCCTATCAACATAGACTACGGCCTCCATTACAACTGTCAAGTTGACTTTGGTGATTCAGTACCAATGAATTTGTCAATTAAATTGATAGCATTGAGTAAATAACTCTTATTTCTTTATTCAGTTTTCTTAGTAGACAATTTTATGATTCCCCATCTTGAACTTAGGCTTCACAGAAACCGGCCTACTGTTTGTGATAACATGGACAGTATAATTTCGGATGGGACGACACAAATAATTAATATCTAGCTATTTAGAATAAAACTATCTTACTAGTCTTTTTTTTTATTAAAATAATATTTTCCGGTTTTGTTTCACATTCGATGGTAAATCAAAGAATAGGTTATCTAATCAACAAAACGCCGAATCTATACCATAGACTTATTGATCAACTACGGCAAGTCCCATTGCTAAAGGTTAGTGGTGGTTTCTTCTATTGATGAGACTACGGTGGCTTTATGAATACAGAGCTGGCTCACGAACCCTGTCTTTAATGATATAGGTGCCTGGGACTTTCCATCCCCGTTTCCCCATCAGTGGTGCATTTTTATCCGACAAGGACTACTGCGAAGTCGTTGAGAAAACAGATGCCCATTCGTGTACGATGCTAGCCGTCTTGATTGGCCCGATTGGTGTAGAAAAGTCGGGCGTTATACCCATTTCATTACTGAAATTATGACTAAGGTGTCTTCTCAGTCAACGTTAGATTTCTTGTTTATGTACGGACGTTGTAACATACGATGTTACGGTTCAAACTAATTAAAATTCGGTTTGTTTTCTTGCAAAGTATTCAATAATTAAACACATTACAAACGTAAAGATTTGGTTGGTGTCTATGTTTGGTGCGTGTGTACAACAGTAAAGATGCTTGTGTCAGTCGATGAAATTGGGTTGCGGTTGATCTATTGCATGAATCAAAGTATCGTATATCGTTACAGGGCCAAAATGGATAGATAATTCCGGAGCAGTTAAAGCAAGGGAGGGAGAAGATGCCGAATTGATTTGGAGTTACACATATCCTTATATTACAGAGTGTGTTTTTATAAGTAGAAAGTTAGAAAACGAAACGGTAAATATCTTATAGAACTCATGGAGTCTTTCAAAGTTAGATCTATATAATAATATACCTCTATATTATTTCTAATGTATACCAATATCAATTAATTTTACTTCACATTTACTGTCTTGAAGCGTAAAATTAACAGTATTTACAAACTACACTTTTGTTTTACTGATTGTATAAAGATTAACCACGTCAATATACGACATCCTACTTGCACACTTAAATAGCAGATTGTAATTCTCCAAGGTGGTACCATTTACCACATCGTATTGTATTTCATTCACCAGACAATAAGAGTGGATACGTTGGGGTATCCACAATGTAGCATAGTGGGTACTGAAACTTAAAACAGATATAAAAATAGATAATATAAAGAGAATCTGCTGAAAATTGCAGCCAAATTGCTTCACTCTGAACCGAGATATTAGCTTTTTTAATTTTTGGCTAGCCTCGATCATTAATAAGGTCGGTATTATGAAAAGCAAAGTCTCGGATTATCCAATTTTACGTTTATATTATCCTTCAAAAAATGTATTACAATCCGATAAATATCGCAGGCTAACGATTGCATCGAGAATTCATTATGTTCTGGATCAATTAATTGATGTCTGATTATTTAGATAACATTTCAGGCCTAAATAAAGACCTACAATAGATTTAGTTCTTTCGCAACGTATGTTTAAATGAATGAAAAATAAATAAAACATAAATAAATTTAAAAGCTATTTTAATAAATCTATTCTGTGTTTATTTATTTGCTACGTTAGATTTATTATTTGCGTTTCCGAATGCATGAACATGGACTCTTTAGAAAATCAATTTGCTAATGGCTGAGTGGGATATGATGCCAATGTATGTGCGTGTTATAATCTGGCAAATCTGAACTCGTTATAACCAGTGGTCAGGTTGTTTACAATATTTAAACAAATTCAAGATAATTAGTAAATAAACCGTAGAATATTCTAGAATTTAATATATATTTTTTAGACGGAATTGGGATATTGGTTTCGCGGTGAGTTTAATATAACGGATCCGTCATATATCGACAGAGTGATCTTTGAGAAGTCAAACAATAAGAGGAGTACAAATTATAGTGAAGAAATTAAAGTCACTTTGAAAAATGTCACAGACAAAGATTTTAATTATACCTACGTAGGTCGCCTTATTCTTAGTGATGGAGAAGAACTCACAAAGGACCTAAGCTTAAAAGGTAAATTTACCCGTGTTTAATTTCATTTCGGAATTAATTCTGTCCCACACTCATCAAAATGCTAAGTGGGTAAGACGCTGGCTCGCTAGCCTGGAGGTCGGCTGTTCGATCCCTGCATTGGCCGATAAAGTTCATCCAGATTTTCCGGCGTGGTCCCCCCTTGTCAGTGATGCAGGACGGAGGGCCTGACAAGGACAGCTGTCTAGTCGTTCGGATGGGACGAAAAACCGAGGTCCCGTGTACACATTGGCGTGCACGTAAAAGGTCCCTTGACAGTTGGAATTCGATATAAGAGTAGGCCGTATTGCCGCTGTCCGGGCAAAATTTCCCTCATAGCACACTGTATGGCGTATGCCCGTCTTCATTAGCCCAGTTCGGAGCAGTAACAGTAGGACGTTAAACACCATTTCATTTCATTTCTCATCAAAATGTGGTAAATTAGCTGTATATATAGTGAATGTATGGACTGTACATGGTGCATATGCATTTTGAAATTTAGTCTCTAACATCACCGTCGAGTGGTAGGGAAGATATTTGAATTTGACTCCCATATGTCACGGGTTCGAATTCCGGCGACGTACGAGATAAATTATCACTTGTTATGGGATGTAACAATAAGAATCTGACATTTGTATTTGGAGCACCCTTGAATCTGATCTGTAATCATTAGCTATCTCTATTTACAGAGCGAAAATTATCAATTAAAATCACAAATGCCAATGTATTTGCTTCAAGTCGAGTGATCCATGAAAATTTTTTTACAGCTTAACCAACGTCATTTATAACTTTTGTATTTTGTAACAAACTGTCTTATTGGTTGACAAAGAACAGGGAACGACGAATTCACATTTCAAAAACAAATATTAAAGTTTCAGAGAAGCATTACTTTTTATTATGTTCTGCATTGAGTCTCCACAGATTGTGCGTTCAAATATTTCGCTATAGAGGTGTGACTGAATCGGTTTTAGATTGAAAATGAGGAATAATGAAGTGAGGAATGAATGTAATTATTTATGATATACACGTTGGGCTGAATCCATCTCTGACTGTAATTTAGAAATAATAAAATTAGGAAAGAACATTATTATTTAAGATATACGACCTATCTGATCGAGTATAAACGTATGGATAATTGACATGTACTGAGATATTTCATTCTATATTTTTAGAGGTCAAGGTTCCTTTAAGTCCAGTGTCTAAACAAGACCATGCCAACAGCGCACGTAATTTTCATTCCAATGCTTTACTTCTTCTGGTGGCCCTCTTCCTGAACTTGTAAGTATGACTATGAGTATATCCAAAGCTAATTTTTGCTACTTGTGTTGATAGATTTTGAAGGAATAAGTCTATGTCCACAAACCCTATAAATATACCATACATAATCCAGACTTCACTAGAGATCCTCGCCCTGGCTTGTCTTGGGTGTTCCTATCTAATGACGTGAAATCGTTAAATGCAGGCGCTACAAGTTATGTTCTATCCACACCGAACCTACCGTGTATACATTGGAATGCACGTAAAAGATCCCTTGGCAGTTGGAATTCGATATAAGAGTAGGCGATAGTGCCGCTGCCCGGGCAAAATTTGCCTCATAGCACACTGTATGGCGTATGCCCGTCGTCATTAGCCCAGCATAGGAACAGAAAAGTAGGAGGTTAAACCCCATTTCATTTCATTTCACCGAACCTACGGTATAGTGAATTCAATGAAGGCCTGTGACACTAACTCATAAAGCGTCAATTAAATGTAAATTAAAGAGAATAAACAATACGTAGCTTACAAATGTATGTGTACCTTTGTATTAATTAGATATTATAACATACTGTATGAAATCTATTTCATTTCTATACTACAGGGACAAGACTTGGTGGGTTGCAGTGAACATTGTAACACAACCATTGGCATCAACACCATCCAATGACGGTCCCAAGTCCGAACAAAATGTGGAGGGATGAACAAGCGCGAATGTTTTTGTTGATATGAAATAAACCGTCCTTTTAATTTTGTATGGTACCATGCGGTTCTTGCTGTTGTGTCAGGGATGTGTTATTATTCAAAATTGTGTAAATAACCGTTAACATGCCTTTCATTCAATTTACAACATTGATTATAATCCATTTATTTTAACAAGCTTTCCAAAAGCATACCGTCACATGAAACAAAATGAAAACAAACATTAAGATTTATTGATGAGTATTTACTATTTATACGCTCACATAGAAATGTCGTATATTGCCATCCTAGTTCTTCTGTCGTCTACAATTTCTTCTGAACACTCTACAAACTACATTTATTATTTGATTGTTTTGAAATAAATTAATACATGATTTTAAAACAATCAATGCAACAAAGGACACTATTGAATTTCGGCAATTTCCCTTGTATCACTTTTATGAACCTTATGGACGCTCATAATTGACGACAGTTACCTAGCGTTATGTATGAAATTTATTCATGCGTCATTTAAATTAGTGAAACGAAGAATCCTTTTTAATTTCCGCTGGAGCTATAGCTTGTTGCACCTTGTGAACGTTTTAACGACAAAAGTGATCATCCGATTTATATGGAATTTGTATGCATCATTTAAATTAGTGAAATAAAGAAGCCTGTTGAATGTCTGCACCATTTCTCCCAATTACTTCGAAAGTTATGGCCCTTGTTTCACTTTTGTTGAGCGTTCGCATGACAAGTTATTATCCGATCTGTATGGAATTTATATGCATTCTTTAAATTAGTAAAACAAAAAAAGCTTGTCCAATTTCTGTACATTACTTCCAGAGTTATGGCCGTTGTTTCAGTTTGTAGAACCTCGCGAACCCGCAGATGACGTAAAATTATAGGCTGATTCGTATGAAATTATCATGGAGTGTTTACATACGAAAGAATGAATGTTCGACAACCCTTGTCGACCGCTTGTTCGATTTAGCTGCTGAGGCCTTTATGTTTCGTTGCCTGGCAACCTATCTTTAAAAAAAACAAAACATAAAAAATAACTGTGATCATTTTAACAATACCCTAATAGTCGAAGGAACTAAAGGCCATAGGCAACCCTCATGCTCCCTCCAATAATATTCAACCTTCATGCTCCCTCCAATGATATTCGATTTTCTTTCGTATTGGAGTGAAATATAACCATGGTGCAATCAAATTAGGAAAATTAAATAACAGTGCCCACTTTAAATATCTACCAACATGTACCACTTAAGATCTACTGGATTTATCAAAAATAGAGGATCCCCGGCAAACACTGTGTAGATGGTTTAAAAAATTATAATCTAGGTCTGGAACATGTTTCGGGCTGTCCGCCCTTCATCAGCCAGACACCAGGGTAGGCATACAACCTCATCTATATATATATATTTGTGACTGTCGTTTGTCTGTCTGTCTGTCTGTTCGGGGTTGGCGGCTACACTAGGTCTGCCCCGAGTCTGAAATTTGGGGTATAGGGGTAGCTCGAACAGGGGAGTAACATAGGCCAGGTGGCGTTAGTCTACCACTTCCGGTTTCGGAGTTATGACCCCCGAGCGAAGCCGGGTATCCTGCTAGTAATAAATAACCAGCAGTGTTGTCAGTAATACTCGCCTGATGGCTATTTAGTCTTCTCGCCTCTCTAATGTGCCAACGTATTTTGCCTACCTATAAATTCAGGAGAATTTGAAAATTCTAACCTGAAACAATTATACCAAGGCAGTCAATCTGCTATTTACCATTTGTAATGTCTTTGGACAAGCTTACCGATGTACAATGCAGGGGGTTGGATGGCCGAATGGTTAGCACGCGCGCTGTACCATATCTTCATTATTATTGCTTGCGGTTTCATAAAAATAGTGGGGTTGGATGGACGAATGGTTAGCACGTGCCCGCTGTATCATAAGGTCTGTCATTGAGTCAACTGGCGTGGTATCGATTCCCCGTATGTACGTGACAAGGAGTAGGCTCGCCTGTCCAACCTCGTGGGTTTTCTACGGGTCCTCCGGTTTCCTCCCACTGCTGATAACCCCTATGCGGAAGCGAATTGTTGAAATAAAATTAAACCATGTGTTAGTCCCGAAATGACCTAGTTTGTGTCGAGTGGACGTTAAACCCCTTTGGCAAATAAAGATCACGTGACCCCAGACATTTCTGTTCAACCAAACAAAAACGTGGTGTGATTTCCATTGCAAACTTAATGCGTAGGGTCGCCGGGTCAACCTCGTGGTTTCCTCCAACTGCTATAGACCCTAAGCGCAAGCGAATTATTGAAATAAAATTGACCATGTTAGTCCCGAAATGACCTAGTTTGTGTCTGAATGTCCCCCCAAACCAAAAACAAGTATGCTCTTCCCAAATATAGGCAACAGCGATCTATTTTAATGGACATTCAAATTGATATACCTTAAGAAATACAACATGGAGGTACATTTTCATGACAGTTTATGATAGAGAATCACACAGGGTTGTTTTATATATAAATATAGTGCCATAACTATCCATATAGTGTTCGAGATTTTATTTTCAGCTCGTGACACCCTAACATACCTGTCTAAACCTACATTTTGAGTGCCAAGGAGTGCAATTAAAACATCTAGAAACACCTACATCAGATTGCATTTATACGCCCATATTTTCATGTCGACGTATATTGTCATCGCTCTTGTCCGCCCCGACCTCCGCCCGAACGTCTGTCGGTCAGTCCACAATTTGTTTGTCACACTCTCTACACGTTACAAATTTTATCCGATTTTGTCGAAACTTGAAATAGAGGTCTATCTCACAAGGATCATGGTTCCTGTCGATATTGGCATGTATCGGACCATAACTTCATAGATTATAACCCCTGATAGTACGAAAAATCATCCTTTTAGCTGGTAGACACCCTAAGAGGTCACAATTTTCATATGATTTTGATGAGATTTGAAATGCATGTTTATAACTCAAAGAGCTTGGTTCTTTTCGATATACGCGCATATCGGATCGTAACTTCCTGAATTATGGTCCCCGAATATACGAAAAATCGCGTTATTAGAATGTGGTCCCTCTAGAGGTCACAGTTAAAAAAAACGTCCGAATATATCACCGTTACACCGTAGTGTTGGTTGAGTTCGAATTTCGTGAAAATCGGACCAAAACTGCTGAACAAAATGGCCGCCCTCGTACGCAAATTGTGTAAACATATGGTATATCGAGGTTGTGGACCCTCTACAGATCATAATTTTGATGAAACCTGAAATACATAACTCAAAGATCCTGGTTCTTTTCGATATTCACACATATCGGATCGTAACTTCCTGATTTATTGCCCTTGATTGTAGACGTCACAATTTTTATCCGATTTAAAAAAAAAACGTGTGAATATATCACCATTACACCCTGATGATTGTTGAGTTCGGATTTCGTGAAAACAGACCAAAACTGCTTGGTTAAAGGGCCTCCCCTCGTATACAAATAGTGTAAAAATGTGGTATATCAAGATTGTGGACCCTCTTTCGGCCACAATATACGGGACCTCGTTTTTTGTCCCCACAATAAAAGTTTCTTCGATCCCCACCGAAGTCAGACTGTCTACCAACGTCATAGATGACTCAATGCTAAAAGGTGGTATACGAATCTCAACTTCGTCAATTGACATTTCCGTCTGAAATTTGGATAAAGCTGCTGAATCGTATGGAAGGATATCGTTGCCAATATTAAATGCTCTGCTACAATGTCTTTTGTATTGATTATATGTAAAAAGTACAATGTACAAAGTCATAATACCGGTAATGATAAAGTCAAAATACCTCTAAGGCAAGAGTTAAATGTAAAACGTCAAATGTTAAGTGCTAAATGACAATTGTTTTGTGGGAAAATGCTTTTTTTTTACGTGTCTACATTTTACATTACTCTCATTACATTTTACATTTGCTCTCTGCCACATCCCATTTGTCCTACACGCATTCTACATAGCATGTTTCGCACAGCATCAACTTGCATATGCAAATGTAGGATATCACGTGACTTATTAACATATACGGAAACCTGGCACACTATAAGCTAGAACAAGGATATTCACGACACTATAACAGGAAATCAGCCTAGCACACAATAAAAATTTACTCACCTTGACACTTTGGATGGCACTTTATGATGATTACGGGGGGGGGGGGGGGGCTGTGCAATGTCCAAATACGAAATGTCAGGTATCATGTTACATATTAGTGAAAATCACATTCATTTCTGTTTGTAAAATATGTAAATAGTTTTCTGGTACAATCGTATTTTCATAATTTAAATCCAATAAATATCACACTATTAAAGGGGTATTTAAGTAAAAATACTGGTCTAAATACATTCCAGATACCATGTTAAGTATCACTGATTGCTCTTTTCAAATATGCAAATAGTTTTCTTGCACATTCATATTTTTGCTTAAATTTACAAAATAAGATTAAAGTTGAAGTGAAAGAGGGGGGGGGGGGACTAAACTAAACTAAAATAAAGATACAGGGCTTAATCATACTAAAAGATGTATAGTCATTCCTCTCTTTAAATATATTATTTATTTGTTGGGCACAATGCTTATATATTGTTTTTTTAATGGATCAAAGTAGGCTACTCAACTCTGTTTATAGAGAGACCGGAAAGAGTGGGGGTGTTTAAAATATAAAAATACGGGTATTAATACGAAATTCCAGTTATTGTGTTATAAATTACTGGAAAGTATGTTTCTTTGGCTGCTTGAATCTATCAATTATTTCCTGGCACATTCAAAATTACGCACGGTCGTCTAGATAGTTTCTTATGGTGTGCCAGCTTGATTTCTTTTGTCGTGCGGTGAATATCCTTATAGTGTGCGTGCCGGGTTTCCATATATGTTAATAAGTCACATGATATCCTACATTTGCATAATGCAAGTTGATGCTGTGCGAAAGTTGCTATGTAGAAAGCGTGAAGGGCAATGGGATGTGACAGAGCGCAAATGTTAAATGTAATGAGAGAAATGTAAAATGTAGACACGTCAAAAAAAAGAATTTTCCCACAAAACATTTGTCATTTAACACTTAACATTTGACATTTTACATTTAACTCTTTCCTTAGAGGTATTTCGATTTTATCAATATCGGTATTAGGACTTTGTACATTATATTTTTTACATATAATCAATGGAAACGACATTGTCGCAGAGCATTTAATATTGGCAGCGATACCCTTCCATAGAATCGAGCTTCGCCTCTAAGTCTTTTAACCCGCCCATTACTAGTGGAAGCACTATAAGCATGCTTAGGTCTTTGTTTCGATACGGGATTTTTGGAGACGTAACCACCGACTTGTACAGATTTAATCCAAAGCCGTTGCCAAATGTAGACGGGGAGTAACACCCCTCTCTTTTGCGCATAGGGGTTTTTAGCAGTGGGAGGAAACCGGAGGACCCGGAGAAAACCCACGAGGTTGGACAGGCGAGCCTTCTCCCTGTCACGTACAACCGGGGAATCGAAACCCCGCCAGTTGACTCAATGACAGACCGTATGATACAGGTACGGCGCGAACGTGCTTACCATTCGGCCATCCAACTCCCATTTGCCAAATGTAGTCGGGGAGTAACAGCCCTCTCTTTTGTACATATCATATATAATGTTATAGGGTCTACAAGCCTTCATTATTCTAAAGTCCTTTATTAATCTTTGCATTACAATTCATATATATAGGTGAGTGGGGTAAAAAGCTACAAAATACAAAATAGCTAAGCCTGTCTAATACATGTATATCTAAATTCGACAAAAGAAAAAATTGCTTGACTTCTACAGCCT